ATGGCTTGTGTGAAATTCCTAACAGAATGGGATTATCTCTGATTCAACGAGGCTGAAAAAAATTAAACTCTCTTAGATGTCACATATACATTGTGGAAGTGTTGGCAACCCCCCACCCTATGCCATGATACATACTTTGCATTAAGATAACTTCATGTCAGAAGTACATTTTTATAGCATATCTACTTGAGATATTTACTAAACTGCTCTCCCCTATGGAAATTTACTTATTTAAACTGATTGTGGCTGAAACAATTGATTTAATCCTTTTAAAGAGTTGAATTCTAAGGGACTTTACAGATCATTTTGTTATGCCTTTCATTTTACAGATGAGACTCTGTTAAGAGTTTTAAAACTCTAATTATGTAATAAACTTAGAATATAGTCCTCTACTCATCTGTTCTGCTCTTTAAATATTTATGCTATGCTGTTAGGCAGGCATTAAAGTGCTGTTAGGCAGTCTATTAAGACTATAGAAACATTTATAACACAAATGAAATAAAGCAGAGGGCCAAATGGCTTAAATAGCATGATTGCAACCAGTATATGAAATTTGTGTACATATTGAGATCTGGAGTATAATATACAAAAATAGTATGTGTCTTATGTAATGGGTTGATGGCCATTTCTCCCTTAATGTTTTTGAACGTTGCTCTATTGTATCTGAATAAACTTATTTTCTAAAAAACATTAAGGCTGCCATAAGGAGAATGATGTGGGATCAAAGGGAATGTGCTCAGTCAGTTGGTAGCTGACCGAATTTGTAACCTGCATCTGCAGACTTTACTCAGACACCTCACTGGCACTGGAAATGAGAGGGATGAGGTTACATCGTTCTAAACCACTGGAACTCTTCTTGTTTATCTGCCTCTGGAAATTTTTTGTTGTTGTTGTCCTCCTGTCTATCGTCTTGTTTTATGGAATCTACTAATCTGGCATGGCTGGAGAATGACTTTTATGGGGACAATAAATCCTGTTATCTATCTCCACTGAAGGCAGAACATGAAGAAATTGGCTTATGCTAACACTTGTGATTTAGATGACACTGGAAGAATATTTTGTCTCCAACATTGGTGATCATTACCTACGGGGATGAGTTACAAAGGATGATTGAGGGTGCTCCTTCTCTGGTTAGCTTTACAATTCAATGGGCTGTTAACTGTCAGGTTTGAGGAAGGAAGAAGTGAGATAGATGACTCTGAGGACTCCGTTGGACTTGATTTTTCAATGTCACTCTAACCAAATAGCTTTTCTATATGATTGGGGAGCATCATGGAGAAAGCATAAAGCAGCTACATAAACAATTTAAGAAGCATTTTGTTTCAGAGCCTAGCTCTGCCAGGTACACTTTAATCATATGTGCTTGTGCACTGTAATGGATGATGCTAGAGTCTTAGCCCATGGCTGAGTTGGTGGGATAAATCTGAAGCTAGTGAATATTTAGTATATCGTGTAAACATAGTCTCCCTCCGAGGGACTGGATCTCACTTTCTAAAATGTTTGGGTTTCTCTGGGTGATGGTTGCTAGGTGGTAGGTGATATTTATTAGCTCAAGTAACAATTACACTTTTGATATCACTGTGGTTTTCCTCTTAAATTGTTAAATTTCCTCTTAAATTTCCTCTTAAATTGTTAACAACTTCATTTCAGGGAAAAGAAATAGTACTGTGAAAAGGAAAATGAATAAAGAAGGAGGAGTGCGAACAAAGCATAGGGCACTGTCAGATGTGTGGACAATCTACAAATTTATAGTCCTTGCTTTAGATCTGTGATAGTACAGTTAATTCAACTTTGATCCTGCCATGCTTTTGCTCAGAAATATCTAGTGAATCTCTCATTGCCAATGGATTAAAATCTTATACCAGCATTCTTAATCCTCTATGGCCTAGTCTTATCTGGCCCATGGAATCATATATCCTATCAACTCACTTCGAGTCCCTCTTGTAAAGATGGAGGCCCATCTTTCCCTCCCCAAGCCTTCACTGATACTGATTTATTATCACACTTCTCCCCTTTCCAGCCCACTGTATTCTCCTTTTCCTGTGGCCTCCCATAGCGTTTCTCTCTTTTACTCCTGACTTGGCATTTATTTTTAAATACTTCAATAATAAAACTACCATTTGTAGTGTATAATATGCCAGGCACTGGTTTTAGTACTCTACTTGAATAACTTATTCAATTATCAATAATTCAAGAGGTAAATAATAATATCCCCACTTTACAGATAAGCAAATGGAGGCACAGAGGGATTAAATAACTTGCCCAAAGGCATACAGTTAGTAAGTGGCAAATCTAGAGTTCTACTCCAGGCTTTCAGGATCCAGAGTTCTTAACCACAGCTCTAAACTACCACTAATAAAATATCTTTTTAAGTGTTTCATTCTCTTAAAATTTATCCTCTTTGAGGTAAAGACAAAATCTCCTCGTTCTATGCTTTACCTCATTACACAGCCCTGTGCCTGGAACAAAGAGTTGCTCTGTGAACATGTGCTTATTGAAGTTCTAACAGATATTTTTGGCTTGGTTAGTTTGACCTGATGATTTTATCTTGATACACAGACACACTCTCTTCTGTTCTCTCTCCAATTACTGGTGTGAGAGGATCAATGTGGCTGTCAAGAATTCAAATCAGTGGCTTTCATTGCCTAAATGAATGGGTGCTCAGTGGTGGATAAGTTTACTAACATGTGTGAAACCAAATGTCAAATTTTGTTCTGTGCTTCAAAGTAAACATTTTAAGTTTGTGTGTTTGTTTTCCTAAGCACTATTTTTATGACTTGGGTATTTGATATGTCAGATAAAATGAGTACGAGCAAGCTATAGTTCACCTTCCTTGCAATATAAAAACCTAAAACCATACTTAATTTTATGCATTTCTACCTTACTTTGGGGGGGTTATTGGGAGAAAAGGCTCTTCATGGAGGAAATAGTGAAAGTTGGTTATGCTGAGGTTACCTCTAATGAGTACCCTGCACATACAATGTTAAACTTTGGGATCAAATTATCTTTCCTAGTAAAGACAAGATACTTAGCCAAAAAAACTCAACTCTAATGTTGTTGTAGTCTATTTACTATGTCTTTGATCTGTTTCTAACAGCATACTGCTTGATAAGGTAGATATTCTGAGCCAGATGTTTACATTGTTCTAACAGTTATATATGTGCCTCTGTATTTGTTGATGAAATAGGCTGTTTCTGGCTGGTATAATAAAAAGCATTTGGAAAAGTATTGCATAAGTCACAGAATCAAGAGGAAAATGGAATAACTTGTCAGCCTCAGGAAGAATAGTTCTGAAAGCTATGGCATTTTAGGGTGGCCAACAAGGAGTGTCTCTTAAGTCTTGGTCATTGAAATGGCTCAGTTCTGTTTTCATTCAGTGTTCTGCTCAGGATTGGTGTTCTTTGGACGGCAGGCAGATTTGCTCTAAGCTTAAGTCAGGTGCCCATTTCTTAGTTAGGGTGATTGATAGTCTACCAAAGGCACATGAAATGGGAAAAGAATAATTCCAGTTACCAGAGATGGGGAAACAGGCAACACCAATAGATGGCCTCTTCCAACAAGGTTCATCTCAAAGCAGAGAAAATTTAAATAACTTTGACTTGGACAACAAGTGATTTGGATATTACCTGAATTTTATCACCAAGTTACTCTTCTAGATGAAAAATTCTAGCAGTTTGATTCATTAACCCATGTTTTATGTCTAGATCTTTATCACTATATTAGTCCCCTTCTTTTAGGATAAACCTTCCTTTTAGTTCAACCAAGGTTTTGTTTGGCATTTTCCTCAAAGGAGCTATCACTAGATCCTATCTCTGGAAGTTAGCAACTTTCAGTTTTAACTTCAGCATATCCTAAGTGTAGAATGGGAGCTTGACAGATTAAGTAGTCCACTCAAGCACAGATATAAATATTATTGAATATGTTGGTTAAAACTCAATATAGCAAGTAGCAGAAAACTCAAATTGAAGCCAGAAACTAAATAGTTCAGGGATGTATCTCTAGTTTCATGAGGAGCTTGATGTAGGGCTCCAAGAGCATGACCAGGACTCTTTCCTCCCTTCCTGTTTATCAGCTCTGAGTTTGATTCCATTTCAAGCAGACTTACTCTTCATGGACCCAAAATGGCAGCTGGAAGCTCTGAGTTGCAGAGTTTAGGTACAGAGGGGCTTAAGGAAATCTATTTTTCCAGGAGTCTCAGTGAATATCTCATTTTATCTCATTGGCTTGGATTCAGTCACATGCCCATTTCCAAACCAATTACTGTAATCACAGAGATAGGATAACCTTGAGCTGAAGGGTAGATCAATTTTAAACGATTTCACGTGGCTGAAAATGGAGGGAAAGATGAATTACCCAAAGAATAACCAGAATGCTTTTGGCAGGAAAAGGAGGAGGGAATTGATGCTGGGAAGTAAAAAAAAAAAAAAGGTTTTATGTTCAGTTTTGAAACTTATTTTTTTGATTACATTAAAAATGATGGTATTTAGCTATTTTCAAATGTGCACAAAAATATAATAATATGAACCCATATTTAGCCATCATCCATCATCAACAATTGTTGAAACATTTTGCCAATTATGTTTCTATCAATTGCATTTTAAAGCATTATCAAAAGATATTTTTATAGCTAGCTATGTAAAAACTCACAACATCTAACAGGAAGTCTGAGACCTTGCTTTATGAACATCAATTTGCACATGAAATGATATCAGTCTCATACCAAAAAACATTGTGTTGCCAGTTAGAACAAAAGAAGCCTCTGGGCAACGGTAATTCATCATTTGCCTGGCAGTAGAATTTTATTTCAGTAAGTAAGGTTTTTTCCCTGCCTTAAGCCTGATGAATCAATTCCTTAACAACTCTTTCCTGAGTACCTGTGGCAAATTTGTATTCTGCTCCCGGGAATCTTTAGGGGTCAATTTATTTGGCAGTAAGGCTTCAGAACACCAGTTTGCATGTGCATTGTGTGATAGCTGAATGTGCTCTAATCTCTTTTGCAGTTGAAAGATGCATGGGTGTAATGCAGTCCGGGACACAGATGATCAAACTGAAGCGCGGGACCAAAGGGCTTGTCCGGCTCTTTTACCTGGATGAGCACCGGACCTGCATCCGATGGAGACCCTCTAGGAAGAACGAGAAGGCCAAAAGTGAGACCAACCTTTGAATTCTTTGCTTGGCCTGACACAGTAACACATGGGTTATATTGGGTGGGTTCTTTGGAAGCTTTGGATCTGTGGAACTTTCATATTTTTTGCCAGTTTTGGGGTTAGTTGTTAAAGGATATGGAAAGACAGAAATAGTAATGACCAGTTTTGCTTTTTTAATTCTTTGAGGAATTTAAATTGATAAAAACTTTCTTGTCCATGAATGTTGTAGATGTTAGTAATTCCCCTGTGTTAGAAACATGATATTTTTCTTTTTCAGTTGGGATATGAGGTTAATAGCCTGAGGCCTATTAGGGATATTACGGATCCAATGGACTTTAAAGTATATTGCCATATTTTGAGTACAGTTAACTGATTAATGAGTTAACAAAATTGTGTGAATGTTATCGAGTAAAATAGCTGTGATTTGACCCCTCGTCAAAGCCTGTGTCCTACACCTTCTATACTCAGCAGCAAGCCCATGCGGAGCCCCCATAATGCCTCTCTCATCTCTTCTGACCATCCCGTTTTTCACAGGAACCTTTTTGTCCAGGGTTTCTTCACCTGTCTGTTGGTGAAGTCTCCTAACCAATCTCTATTTTGCTAGTTTCTTCTGCTTTTATCAGTTAAGATGCTTTCCTGTTTAAGTAACAGGAGACCTTGAGCAAATAAATAAATTTATTATCTCATATAACAAGAAACTCAGAGATTGGCAGGCTCCAGGCATGGGACATTGAGTCTCTGGTCATTTTTTTCCCAAGTGCTCTTGGCTTTTATGCATTGGCATTATAATCAAGACAGCAGCAACATGGCTTCAGCTGTTCTGGGCCTCACAATTTGATGACAGTGATGAGGAAAAAAGGGACCTTCTTTTCTGGTACTTCCTTTTTAGGAAGGAAGAACCCCTTTCCAGACCCTTCCCTCAAAGCAGATCACCCCAAGACTCCTTGGTTAGAACTGGGTTGCATTTTCACACCTAAGTCGATCATAACAAATGGGAGAGGGGCCACCCCAGTGGCTGAGACCCACCAAAATTTTCCCTGGGGCTGGGTGTGTGCTCATTTACCTGCATGTTGTGTGGGGAGTTAGTTGATACCAGAAGAAAATTGGGACTGTGCCATTTAGGCGGACGAGAGAAGTGAATGGTGTATGTGGACAATCAATAGGATATGCAATACTTCTGATTCATGCTTAAAAACAAGCAAGCAAATGAAAAATGCTATTTTAATATAAAATAATCATCCCTGCCCCTGCTTTTCTGATGCAAACCTTTAGTACTGCTCTTCTATCTAAATAACGCTAATCTCTGGTCTATTTTTCTAGGCTCTCCATAATCTAGCTTCTCCTTACCCTTCTAGCTCTATCTCCTGTTACCCTCCTTCTTGAGCTTTCCAGCATAAATAGCCTATCCAGCATCCCTGGAGTGGGCTTTATGTTTCTGTGTCCTCACGCCTCTTCCCCCGGGATGCCATCTTGTTCCTCTTCACCTCTCTAAGCCTTGCTCTACCTTCACCATAAAAGCATTTTCACTATTAATACCGATCACTTTTAACTGTGCTATTCGGTTACCACTACATTTTTTTTCCTTTCAATTTCTAACTTCTCATGCATATTATGAAACACTAAAGTCGGCTCTGGGTCTTAGTATGTTCTCTTCAAGTAAATATGTAAACTATAAATTTGACACATTCGTTAGCTCCCTTTCTACCAGTCTTCTTGTCCTGGTGGCAAATCTATCATTTTATCATCAATTTCAGCCCATCCTCACTTAATGCCTGGGAAGGCATTGTCCAGACTGCCCAGGAAGGTAAAATTTTATATAGAGAAGGTCTCTAGCAGGAAGTGATAGGGCTCGTAGTTCACATTTGGACTTAAAACCATAACTCGTAGACAATGAATTTGTTCATGCTCATTTAAAAAATTTTAAAAAAATTTTGCTTTCCTTTTTTCTTAAGTCGTATCTTCATCTGCCATGTATTCTACTTTCCTCACAGTACTTATTGACTCCATTTACAAAGTCACCGAAGGTCGGCAGTCTGAAATATTCCACAGACAGGCTGAGGGGAACTTTGACCCCAGCTGCTGCTTTACCATCTACCATGGGAACCACATGGAGTCCCTGGACCTCATCACCTCCAACCCTGAGGAGGCCCGCACCTGGATCACAGGCCTCAAGTACTTGATGGCTGGCATCAGTGATGAAGACTCCCTTGCCAAAAGGCAGAGGACCCACGACCAATATCCTTCCTAAAACTTTTTTTTTGAGCTCTGTGTGTGTGGGGGGAATCAGACTATGAATTATTTTTCCCCATAATTTTTTTCTCTACCCCTAGCCTCCTCTGTTCCCTCCTCGCTCTCACCCTAAGTAAATGAACGCATGAAACACATAGAAACAAGCTTGTATGATAAACTCAGGAGCAGTCTTCTGGAGAGACTGAATTTCGCCCCACAAGCTGAGAGATCTCCAAACGCAGTTTCCTAAGAGAGAGATGGTAACCAGGAAAAAAAAACATTTACTCATGTTAGAGGAAATCCTGCTTTGTTATAGTCAGTTTAGTTTAACAAATACTGTTAAAATTTTAATGATGCACCAGGTACTAAGCTCCTTACTGCTTTCCGTCTCTCTTTTTAGCTTACTGTTTGGAAACCGAACTGATTGATACTCAAGGGGAAGTTACTTTTTACTTAATAACATTTATCTTCTAATTGCTCAAAACACTGGAGGCTGAGTCTCATTCTTGATTAAACCTATTCTTGTGGTCCTGCAGTGTTGACAAGATAAATGATTAATGCGCTTGGTCTGAAAGGCACCTCTCCTGCTGGGATGGAGCTGGGCTTGTGACATGGTGTTTCTGGCCTCATTTCCCTGACTTGTAAAGTGAGGGTATTAAGCTGCTTTAGTTTCCTTCTGCACCTTTGGTATGGCCTTAAAATTCACATGCCCCCATTCATTTAGGAAGTAGTACTACTGCCTTGCTGTCATTGGAATGTGTGCCCCAAGTTTTTTCCCAGAGTGGTGACAAATTTGTGCTGCTCTGACTATAATCCCTCACCTGGGGTATTGTTGGAGCAGAGTGGAAACATTCAGCCCGTGAAAGGATTTTGACAGTGTGAACGTCTGAGTTGATTAGCCATGGCATTTTCATCAATATTCTCAGCATGCAGATAAATGCAACTGGGATTCATAAGTGATCAAAACACAAACATAGGAACTAACTTTTTGTGCTTTATTCTGTTTGTTTTCTTCTTAACACATCATTAGGTGAAGTCCTCTTCCCCACTCAGTCAAAATTCTTAAAAAGTCTTTTGCTTATTCATTCATCTGTAGATGGATACTTAGGTTGCTTCTACGTTTTAGCTATTATGAAAATTGCTGCTATGAACATGGCTGTACAAATATCTCTGTGAGACCCTACTTTTAATCCTTTTGGGTATATACCCAGAAGTAGAATTGCTGGATCATCTGTCAATTCTATTTATAATTTTTCGAGGAACTGCCATATTGTTTTCTGCAGTGCCGTACCATTTTACATTCCCACCAACAGTACACAAGGGGCCCAATTTTTCCACGTTCTTGCCACCACTTGTTTTCTGTTCTTTTGATGGTAGCCATCTTAATGGGTGTGAGGTAGTATGTCATTATGGTTTTGACTGCATTTCCCTAATATTAATGGTATTGAGCATCTTTTCATGTGCTTGATGGCCATTTATATAACTTCTTTGGAGAAATGTTTATTCAAGTCCTATGCCCATTTTTGAATCAGGTTTTTTTTTTTTTGTCATTAAGTTTTAGGAGTTCTCTATCAATTCATCTATGACAGATTTGAATCCCTTTTCAGATATATAATTTGCAAATATTTTCTTCCATTCTGTGGGCTGTCTTTTTACTCTGTTGATACTGTCCTTTGGCGCATAAAATTTAATTTTCATTAAGTTCAATTTTTCTATTTTTTCTCATTGCCTGTGCCTTTGGTATTATATTCAAGAAATTATTGCCAAATCCAATGTCATAAAGCTTTTGTCCTGTATTTTCTTCCAAAAGCTTTATTCTTTTAGATCTTACATTTAGATCCTTGATCCATTTTGAGTTAATTTTTGTATATGGTGTTAGGTAAAGGTCCAGCTTCATTCTTTTGAATATTGATATCCAATTTTTTCAGCATCATTTGTTGAAAAGACTGTTCTTTTCCAGTGTAATGGTCTTGGCACCCTTGTCAAAAATCACTGACCATGTGTATAAGGGTTTATTTCTGGGCTATTTTATTCCATTGGTTTACATGTTTGTCTTTATGCCAATACCACAGTTTCGATTACTGTCAATTTGTAGTAAGTTTTGAAATCAGGAACTGTCAGTCCTCCATTTTTGTTCTGCTTTTTCAAGATTATTTTGGTTGTTCATGGTCCCTAGAGATCTCATGAATTTTAGGATGAGTTTTCTATTTCTGCAAAAAATGTCATTGGGATTTTGATAAGGATTTTATTGAATTTGTAGATTGCTTAGGGTAGTAATAGCATTTTAACAATACCGCCTTCAGTCTGTGAATGTGAGATGTGTTTCTATTTATTTATATCATTTTAAATTTCTTTAGCAATGTTTTGTAGTTTTCATTGTACAGCTCTTTTCAGCTCCTTGGTTAAGTTAATTCTTAAGTATTTTATTCTTTTTAATGCTATTGTAAATGGAATTGTTTTGTTATTTCCTTTTCAGATTGTTCATTTATGAAAATGCAACTGATTTGTGTGTTGCCTTTTTACCCTAGTACTTTCCTAAATTCATTTATTAAAAAGTTTTAACAACTTTTTCTTTTATGGAGTGAGTCTTTAGGGTTTTCTACATATGAGGTTATGTTATTAGCAAACAGATAATTTTATGTTGTCTTCCTTTCCAATTTAGATGCTTTTTATTTCTTTTTCTTGCCTAATTGTTCTGGCTAGAACTTCTGGTACTACACTGAATAGAAGTAGTGAAAGTAGGCATCTTTGCCGTGTTCCTAATCTTGGAAGAAAAGCTTTCGATCTTTCACTATTGAATACGATGTTTGCTCTGGATTTTTCATATATGCTCTATTATGTTGAGGTGGTTTTCTTCTCTTCTATTTTGTTGAGTGGTTTTATCATGAAGGGTGATATATTTTAGCAAATGCTTTTATCGCATCAATTGAGATGTTCATGTGGCTTTTCTCTTTGTTATGTTAATGTCGTTTATTACATTGATTGATACTTGCATGTTGAATCAACTTTGTATTCCAGAAATAAATTCTACTTGGTCATAGTGTATAATCCTTTTAATATGCTGCTGAATTGTTGAGAATTTTTTTTTTTAATCAATGATCATAAGAGATATTGGTCAGTAGTTTTCTGTAATGTCTTTAGCTTTGTTATCAGATTAATGTTGGCCTCACAGAATGAGTTAGGAAGTGTTCCTTTCTTTTCAATTTTTTTTGGGAAAAATTTAAGACAGATTGGTATTAGTTCTTTAAATGATTGGTAGAATTCATCAGTGAAGCCATAAAGTCCAGAGCTTTTCTTTGTTGAGAGATTATTCATTCTATCTCCATACTAACTATAGATCTATTCAGATTATTCAGATTTTCTATTTCTTTGTGATTAGATTTGGTAGGTTTCTTGTTTCTAGGAATTTGTCCATTTCATCCATGTTATTCAGTTTGTTGGCATATGATAGTTCATAGTACTCTCATAATCTTTTATTATTTCTGTAGAATAGGTAGTAATATTCTCATTTTCATTTCTGATTTTAGTAATGGGAGTCTTTATTTTTTTCTCAGTCCATCTAGCTTAAAGTTTGTCAATTTTGTTGATCTTTTTGAAGAATGAACTTTTGGTTTTATTGATTTTTTCCTATTGTTTTTCTGTTCTTGATTTCATTTATCTTTGCACTAATTTTTCTTATTTTCTTCCTCCTACTAGTTTTGGGTTTGGTTTGTTTTTCTTTTTCTAGTTTCTTAGGTTGTAAAATTAGATGGTTGATTTGAGATCTTCTTTTCTAATGTAAGTATTTATAGCTATAAATTTATTTTCCCCCTTAACACTGCTTTCACTGCATCCCATAAGTTTTGGTATGTTGTATTTTCATTTTCACTCACCTGTGAGTATTTTGTAATTCCTTGTGCTTTGCTTTGACCTTTTGGTTGTCTAAGGGTGTCAATTAATTTTCACAATTTTGTGAATTTTCCAGATTTCCTTTTGTTATTGATTTCAAACTTTACCCCATTGCGATCAGAGAAGATACTTTGTATGATATCTATCTTTTTAAATTTAGAGTCTTAATTTGTGGCCTAAAATATGGTCTAGTCTGGAAAACATGCCATGTGCACTTGAGTAGAATTTGTATGTCATTGTGTAGGCTGACCGTATGGGTCTGTTAGATCTGGTTGGTTTATTGTCTTGTTTAAGTCCTCTGTTTCTCTACTTCTGTCTAGTTGTTCTATCCATTATTGTGTGTTGGGTATTGAAGTCTTCAACTATTATTGTAGAACTATATTTTTTTCAATTTTGTCAGTTTTTGCTTTATATATTTTGATGGTATATCATTAGATGCATAAATGTTTACAATTATTATATCTTCTTACTATGTCAAACCTTTTATCAATATATACTGCTCTTATAACCTTTTCATTTAAAGTCTATTTTGTCTGATATTAGTATAACCACTCCTGCTCTTTTTTGGTCACTATTCGCATGGAATATCTTTTTCCATCTTTTCACTTTCAACCTGTTTGTATGGATCTCAAGTGAGTCCATTATAGACAACATATAGTTGGGTCATGTGCTTTTATTCATGCCAATCTCTGTCTTTTGTTCAGAGTTTATTCCATTTATATTTAAAGCATTTACTGATAAGGAGAGATTTTCTTCTGTCATTGTGCTCTTTCTTTTCTACATGCCTTATAGCTTTTTTTTGTCCCTCATTTTCTGCATTCCTGACTTTTGGGTTTAGTTGATTTTTTTTTTTTTTTGCAGTGAAATGTTCAAATTTTTTCTCATTTCCTTTTGTGTATATTCTATGGTTATTTTCTTTGTGGTTATCATGGGGATTGCATTTAATATCTGAAAATTATAGTACTCTAGTTTGAATATACTAGCTTAAGCAATAATGTTTCGAATGTGATTTGTTTGTCCATGTTTACTAGCAGTAGAAATTTTTCATATTTGAATTAACTAGGTTGAAAACTGAGTGATTTCATATTCTGAAAATATGCTATTTGGAAAGCAAGTACACCCCAGAACTGCACAGAGGAACAGTTCAAAAAAACACAAAAAGCAGTTGATATTTGTGTCAGTGAGGAAAGAAAAGGAAAGAGGAAATTAATGAACGGTAAAGAGAAAGCTGATGTCAAACACAGGGAATGTTATTTGAGTCAGAGAACCATTCTCATATAGATTTGTTGTAACTTGTTAGGGTTTTAGATAATATCTTAATGCTAGAATGACATTCTTAATTGGACATACATTTAGTTACATTAATCGGGAGAACAAACTTGGAATGTTTGTTATTATTCGATTTCAATTAGGCCTGAAAATTTCAACTGTGAACAAATGATGAGAATAATGAATCTTAAATGGCTGTATAAAAAAATTCATCTAGTGTAAAGCATAATTCAAGCTATTTCTGCAGCATGAACATGTTGAATTGGAAGTGGATACAGTACTCATATCTATTAGAAACAATATACTGTTGTGGTTAAAGACTCAGACTGGTGCTGAGTTCGAGCCCCAAATCTGCCATGTACTATGCAACTCTGGGTGAGTTAAACTTCTTTGCCTCAGAGTTTTTATCTGTAACGTGGTAATGATATTAGTGATAGTGCCTACCCTATGCAGATGTGTGAAGATCAGATGAGTTGATGTACACAAAGTGCTTAGACCCTTTATAAATAATAGCTGCTATCATTATTGCTTAAGAGAGATAAGGATTAGAAAATCTTTTGCTTCCTTATTCAGGTAGATTAAGGTCTGAAATCTCAGCAGCCCCAGCATGCAAAGATGATAGTACTGGCACCTAGTATCAGCATTTTTCTCCATCAGATCCTTCTCCTACTTTATTCTTCACCTTATCTCCTGACCCCACAAAGGAAATTATTACCTCTAGAAGGCTGTAGGGAGTTCCTTATGGATGCTGTAAACTGAAGCCTTGTGCCTTCTCTATAAATGAGGGATCCTGAAGCCTGTAGGGGAAATTCGGTCTACCATTTATTTTTATATGGGCCACTGAGCTAAGAATGGATTTTCAGTGGTTGAAAAAAAATCAAAGGACCAACAACATTTTGTAACATATGAAAATTATATGAAATTCAAATGTCAGTGTCCATAAATAAAGTGTTATCGGAATGTAAGCATGCCAGTTCATTTATATATTTTCTATTTAAGAATGGGAGAGTTGAGTAGTTGCAAATGGGACCAAATGGCCTGCAAAGCCTAAAATCTTTACTACTAGTCTCTTGATCCCAAAAGTTTGTCTACCCCTATACTAAATACCATTCATTGCTTTACATTTTCCTATAATTTCTTATTAGAAACACAGATCATAACTTTTCATTCAGTTTTTACTCTCGCAGTTTTTCTTTGTAGAATGACTGTTTTATTCTTAAATTTATCATGTGTATGGTGATGAATTACTAATCCAGGGCTTCCTTGGGCACTCATGTTGTAAGTAGGAAGAACAACTTTAAGATATCTGAATACTTTAACCTGCAATTGTATCTTATACCATGTGTACTGTTACTAGGAGAGAATGGTTTTCCTTTCACAGAGTCTTAGAGTTGAAGGGAACTTCAAGGCCATCTGGGTGTACTCATTATAGACAAAGAAATAGAAGCCCAAAGAAATGACATAAGTAACCCACTGTCACAGGGTTAGGTCAAAAGAATCAGAACTAGTGGGTATTTCTTGGTCTGATTCTACCTCTCTTTCTGTCTTACCAACCCTATGTCTCCTAAACCAACTGTCAAGGCCAACTTGTGTGTTGACACTGAAGGTGGCACAGACACAGGCCTTCCCTAAAGGGTCTGTATCTGCAGAATATTCTTACTTAGGGTGTGCTCGTCCCTGCCTTTTCTCTGGAGAAGTCTTTGAGAGGCTTTAATAAAGAAGTATAGAATAAAAGGATGGAAATATTGCTATCATTGGACTCATTTTATCATGTCTTTGAACATTGGCTAAATATTTGTGGGGCACAGAGCAGTGTCCATAGTCAAAAGAAATAGAGCTCATGGAATGGGCACTGTGGGCCCAGAAAACAAACAAACAAACAAACAAATGAGATTCGGTTACTTTTTAGTAATTGGCCCAAATATTCCACTCTTGGTTCTTTAGTTATTTTTCTTCAAGTCCTGGGTCACCCTTTACCTTCCTGGTGTCGTATGTAATGAGATCTTGCCTAAACTCTATGAGGAAAAATCGAAAGAACTGGGTTGGTTAATTTCAAATGTTATAAAGGGAACAAAATGTGAAACGAGGTGTTTACAATCAGAAATTCACCTCTATTTAACTTTGGAAGAAATAAGACTTTAATTCTCTGGTTACTTTTACTTTCTAAGGTACAATCTCCTACAATCATTAATTTGAATCACCTAAGAAATGTAAACGTGCTGTTATCACTAAGAGGTTAGTTAATATTTCAACTTAAAATGAAAATCTCAGTTTGATGTCACCTGCTTGATAAGCAAATATTCTCCATTGACCCTTTCTTCTGACCTTCTCCCATTTTCTCATTTCTCAATTTTAAACCTATGCCTTTTGCGTACTTTGAGTCTGATTTCATCACATTTCTTTCTTTCTTCTTCATCATCCTTCACATTTTGAAACTCAATTTGCTTTTCTAATTGTGTATACACACAATTTCTGCCTTTTGTAATTTAACTCTTGATAACTGTGAATCATCCATTTTTAAAACATGCCCTGCTAAAACTTGGAATTTTTCAACTCACCCATTTATTACCATTTATTCTCCACTATGTAAAACAGTACAATACTTATTCTCCTGAGGGTCTTTTAAAATTTCAATTCACCCGATGCAAATCCTTTGTGTATAAACTCAGTGTCACAGCCTCAGTCACCCAGCGTTATACCTGTTGCTTTGAGGGCAACCTGTAGCATGTCAGGCTTATAGTCCGCATCACTGCCCTTGATTTATAAGTTTGGAGCTATTAGATAAGAACCATCAAAGCTAGTCAAAAGCAGATCTTCTGTGAAGGAGGAGAGAGGACTAGACCAGGTTGCATGAGATCTGGGTTTGACACCTGGGTCCCTTATTAAGCCTTACCAAATTTCTCCGTCTCTAGCTTATATCCTCATGTGAACAATAAGATTAAACTAGGTAGACTAACCTTCTAAATGTAGGAGTGGGACTGAGAAAAGGGAACTGGAAAGATTGTGTAGTGTGGTATTGTGAAGATAACAAGATACTATATGAAAGGCTATAGAGGGAGAAGTTAAGGCCTAGGTTTGGTATATTTGGGGTTTTGCCACATCGTAGAGATATTTTAACAGACTGGATAACAACGTTTGAGTTGAAGAACCTCTCAAAATTATATGGTTTAACTCATTTCACAGTGGAGGGAATCACCTCTATGCGCTGTTCCTTTCCTTTCTTTTGTGGTTGTTGTTACTCTTAGTAGTTCACTAAGAGCCTGCGGATTGCAGGACCCTCTCAAAAAATTTCTTCTCGAGTTCGGTGTTGATGATAAACACTCTTGTGAGTATTCTGTGAGAGCAGTTTTTATTTTGTGAAAACACAAGTGCTTTTCTTGACGTTTCTGCACGTGGGTGAAGCAGACCTTTGAGGAAGCTGATAAGAATGGCGACGGCTTATTGAATATTGAAGAGATATACCAATTGACGCATAAACTAAATGTCAATCTACCCCGAAGAAAAGTCAGACAAATGTTTCAGGTAGGTTTTCACAATTGAGTTGGTCTTCTGTGAAGTACACATTAGAGGTTATTAGTGTACTTAGACATTTCAAAAGGCTATTTTGTTTTGTTGGAAACTCATATTTCCTTTGTATTACTTTATTTTTCTTTGCTGAAGAAAGGCGTTTTGTTCAAGGGAAAAGAAACATTCTAAACTTACCATGAGTCCACAATTTCACTTCCTAAAATGCTTTTTTGTTGTCGTTTTTAGAGAGTAATTCCAAGCACTTTACTGACAAATAATGGAGTAAATGTGATCAAGTTTCTTAGGATGATGACATCTCATTTGCCTGCCTCACAGGCTGTTGTGAGGATCAGAATAAAGACTAACATGAAAAAAAAATAGCACTTGTCAAAATCTTCAAGAGCCCTCTTTTGTTTCAGAGGAGTTTAAGATTTAGAATACACAGGTCTTACCTTTTAGGGAATTCTCCAGAAGTTCATTCAACTGCTTGTTGGTGTTAGGTGAGATGCTCTTTCCTGTTGACAAGTCCTTGAGGAAAGTCCTTAGGCCCAAATTTACTCCTATCTGGGACTGTACTTAGTCCACTGTCTATGATACAGAAGTCAGCTCTGTTACATTTAAGTTGGTGCAAAGACAATGTTAGATAATTAGTAATTACTAGTATATTAATTTAGGAAAGGCTCTAATTTGGAGGTAAGAGATATGCACAATCCATGTTCTACAATGATTTTCTAAGTGGCTGGGTAGGTGACATTTTGTACATGTAAAATAAGTATATAGGGTGATAGTTAATGATTTTTAATGTTTCGTACTTCCTTTGTTTTCTAAGCACTTGCCCTTGAAGCAGCGGGTAAGGGCAGAAACAGCATGAGGGATGAGTGGTGACGGTAAATGGAGGATGGAGGCTGGCTTCCATCTGACCTTTTGGAACGGTCCTGTCCTTGGAAGCTCTTGGCTGGAGATGGTTTGTGTTGTGGGGAACTTGGTCCCATTGCACTGAGGAACAAATGAGAGAAAGGAAAGAAAAGGAGGGAATGAGATAATACTATGGAAGGAACCCCAGAGATGGAGTGACGGGCTTTGGATGGGAAATGAGTTGTCACAAATGGAGTGAATTGTCCTTTAAACGATATGAAAAGGCTTGCCACATTCCCGGCACTCTCCGTGGCATCTTGTTTTTGTCTTGTTGTGAGCTGCACCTCTCAATCTGATCCTTTTTGTAGGAGGTGTTCATAGCACTGAAGAGGTAGCTGCTGGCTAAACCAGAGACACCGAGCTTAAAGAGGAGGGCAAAGTTTATACCTATAAAAGTAATGTTTTCTTTGGTAGTTTTTGAAAGTAAGATAATGCAGAAATGTAAGATATTAAATTATTTTTACTTCTATATTTTTCCCCTTCAGACACCTTTTATCTCTAATACACCTTTAGAGGGTGAACCAGAAAATGTTTATGTCAAATGTCTATGGGTTCAAAGTAAATACTTTAGAGAAGTTTTAAGAAAACATTAAGGGTCTCTTTTTGTGACCTTTGATTCAAAGACTTATCAAGCCAGAAGTGCGTGGAGAAGCATTTGGGCCTGTTGTATGCAGAACATGTCTGCGTGGGTCTTGCTTCTAGCACGGTTCTGTAAGTGCTCATGGCGGAGGTGATAGGACCAAGGATCTTAGCATTATTTCGGGAAAATTCTCTTAAAAAAATTATTTTTGAATGAATTTCTGCTAAAGACATTCAAGCCTTCCTAGAATTTTCATTTATTTATTTTTGCCTTTTTGCCTTCTCGTTGCAGTGCAAGATTCAATTGATTTTTATAAAAATAATCTTAAGGAAGATAGGGCTAGCTTCTTTTGAAATCTTTGATGCTATGGTTTAAACCTCAGAGTTTTACTACTCTTAATTGTTTAGGCAGTTATAAGAAGTCTTGAAAAATGTTTCATCTCTGTGTCAGGATTAGATATTTTGAAACAAAGTTATGGCAGAAATGTGAACATTAGATCTAGCTCCAATGTTAATTAGGATGCAAAGATTCTACAACCGAGAGCCTCAAACACCAAAACTGCTGATGTTGTGCAGACCCATCTGTCTCTATTTTTAAAATGACAGAAGGCAACAGCAATCAGCCTCATGAAGAAACTACGTATGATTTAAATATTGATTAAAGTGTTTGTTAATAATTGACCCAAAGTTAGCAAAGTTTAAAAAAAGATTTTTATGCACACTTTGATTCTCAAACCTGTGTTTAAAACCACATAACAGCTGCGACTACTTTACAAATCCCACGAATTTCAAAATGCCATTGTTTCCCTGTCAGTTTTTGTTCAGTTACAACTGTGTACACTTAGAATGAAGTTCATGTAAATGGGTTTGCTGCTCATTATATATTTGAAAATAACAGTTTTGTGGTGTTAAAATTTTTAGCCAATTAGAAGGAAGAAACATGGTGAAAGATGCTTGCTCAATAGTTGCTAGAAATAAATAATTTCAACTACAAATCAGTTCAGATGGATTTTTCAGACTTAAATGGAGGAAAAGCAGGGAGGGAACAATGATATTGATGACTGTAAGAACACTGAACTACCTATGCAAAATTAGGAGAGATTCTGCTATAGTTAAGTTACATTTGATTAAAATGCAGTTCAGAAGATGATGAGAGAGACTGGTATTTTCACTATGTGTTAAATATGTCTTCTCTCTTTTGTTCATGATTAGTCTTATTCAAGATTTCTTTTTCATTAGTTTCTTCAAAACAGCAGCTTTTGGTTGAATCACTCACATTTGATTTATATTCATTTGTTTTCTATTTCTTGCTTTCTGCTCTTGTTTATAATTTATTTCTTTCTATTTTCTTTAGCTTAAATTCTTTCTTAGGTTTTGAGTTGAATTATTAGCTTACTTGTTTTTAATCAACCTTGTTTTCTAATAAACTGAAAACTTCAAGTTTCCTCTACTGCTTTAACTTCATCACACCAGTTTAAATATGTAATGCATGCATTTAGTTTCTTATTTAGAAGATATTATGTTGTTTTCAGGCATAGTTTTTTTTAGAAAAGCTTTCTTTGTTTTATGAATTTACGGTGATCAGTAAAATCAGTTTTTATAAGGTCGATTCTTCATAATTTACAACTTTGCTTGCAACCTGATGATATATAGTCCATTTTAAAGTTGATCCATGTGTGCTTGAAAAGAATGTGTGTTTACCATTTGTGAAATGTATACTAGCCTTTTATAGTAAATATTATTTCCCAGTACGGAATTTCCTATTTCAGACTTTCAAACTGCCTTGTTTTTTCTATGCCACTTTCAGGAAGCTGATACAGATGAAAATCAGGGAACTTTGACATTTGAAGAGTTCTGTGTTTTTTACAAAATGATGTCACTGAGACGGGACCTTTATTTGTTGCTCTTGAGCTACAGTGACAAGAAAGATCACCTAACTGTGGAAGAACTGGCCCAGTTTTTGAAGGTGGATCAAAAGGTAGTATTAGATTGTTGAATGTTTACTTAGAAAAAAATTGTGAAAGATACAATGGGTTTCTCTTGGGGTTGGATGTAGATATACTTTAAATTTAGGATAGAGGTATAAATATCACAGTTCCACAGAAATCTTAAAAAATATTTTTTTTCAGAAGTCTTATCTTTGAGTTATTTAAAATGTTTCTTGCAGCTTTTAAAGAGGAAGTGATAAATTGAACACATACATTTTTTACCTTCAATATGTTGAATATGGCTACGTGTATTTTTTCACAAAGTTGAATGATAACTCGTGTTCCATTTTAGATACAACGGTAATGTTTTCTTTACATTAGTTATATTGCTAGGTATTTATTAACTATGATGTAATTCTTAACTGGCAAAATAGTTATTCATTGATAATTCTGATGGGAAATTGCCATTTGGTCATACGAAAAGAGTAAGTAAATTAAGTCCTGATTAGCAAAGGGAATCCCAAAATGTATTTAAAATAAGACTTTTAATTTTAATACTATGTAGGATGAATTGCGATAATAAGGTAAGTTTTGTCCTACTGCTTTATAAATATTGCCTTAGACTCTGTTTCTCACTAAAGTAGATTTGTTTTTGTTTTTGTTTTTTTCTCCAGCTTTATTGAGGTATACTTGATGAATAAAAATCATATATATTTAAGGTGTACAACATGAGGTTTCGATATCTGTATGTACTATGAAATGATTACCACAGTCAAGCAAATTAACATATCTGTCAGCTCATGTGGTTACAATTTATTTTTGTGTGGCAAGAACACTCAAGATCAACTCTTAGCAAATTTCGAGTATATAATATAGTAACATTAACTATAGTCACTATGCTGTGCATTAGATCTCCAGATTCATTCCCTATAATTGAACCTTTGTATTCTTTGACCAACTTTCTTCCCACTCTCCCCGTCTCCTCCCGACCCCCCCATACCTGGAAACCAACATTCTACTCTCTGCTTTTATGATTTTGACATTTTTGCATTCCACGTATAGTGAGATCATGCAGTGTTTATCTTTCTGTGTCTGACATTTCATTTAGCGCAATTCCTCTTGGTTTTAAACATGTTGTGGCAAATGGCAGGAATGATTTAATCAAGTATGCCTACATAATGGAACCTCTATAAAAACCTCAAAACCACGGGGTTTGGAGGCTTCCTGGTTGGCGAACACATAGAAGTGCTGGGTGGAGGTGCTCTGAGGGGGCAAGAGAACGCCATACAACTCCCCCTACCTTGCCCTGTGTATCTCTTCCACTTTATAATAAACCACTAATAAATAGTAAGTAAGGCATCTTTCTGAATTCTAAGTCATTCTAGTGAATTATAGAAATTGAGTCAGGGGAACTGATAAAGACTTTCTCTTTGACTAAACTCTAGATAGGCTCTTCTGAGCCCCTTTTCAACCAGACCCTGGCCTTGGGCATTGTCCTCAAGCGTCCAGTTGTAGCAAGAATGCTGCTCAGTCAGTTTAACCAGAATCCCCATCTGATCACCTTTGGTATCTTATAGAGATTCCTCATTCTCCACTATCCCCCAGGTGATATTTGATTGCCCTGGCCTGCCTTCAGCAAGAATTCTGTTAGATCAGTTCATCTAGAATTGTCTTCTCCACGATGTTTCTTCCACTGATCCCTACCCTACTCCTTGGCTTTAAATCCCCACTGGTCCATCCTGTATTTGGAATTGAACTAGTTGTATACTGAGTTCTCTTTTCCCCTATTGCAGTATGTAGTTAGTGATTAAAATCTGTTTTTACTGCTTTAACTACTGTCCAGTTCTATTTTTTTGACAGAACCCCCAAATTTGTGGTAGGCCAAGCAGAAATGGGGATAGCCCAAACCCCTATTTTGTGGCTGGCATCTGGCTTGGGGACAGTCTGGAAGCCTGAGTCCTTAACCTTGGGAGTCTAATGCCAACCCTGGGTAGTTTATGCATCCAGTTAGTGTCAGAGAATCAGAGATTTGGTTGGTGTCAGAAAAAAAGACACTAGACCTGGTAATATTTTACTTTATCTCATTACCACAGTCACATACATTTTGGGAATAACAGATTCAGATTTTATGAATTTTGTTGTTGCTTTTTTAAGGGTTAAGCTGGATAGTGTTAGCAAAATGTTTTATCTAACTGTCATTTTAATTAGCTTGATGATTTGGCAAAGGCAGATTCTCCATGACCAAAGTTAGCTATAAGACAGGTAGAAAATAGGAAAGAGGTAAGAGAAGATTTTTTTTTTTGGCCTAAAGAATGTGCCCTTTTACATTTCTCCTCTTCTGTTTCCTGCCATTATCACTACTTCCCCATTCTCATGGGAAAACCCCTTCCTAGTACAGTGGAAAGAACAATAGACCAGGAGCATTGAAGACCTATACTCCACACCCTGTAAGCTTTATTGGTTGGAGAATCATGGGCAGGCCAATTAGCATTGTCTCTGAGCCTTGGCTTCCTCATCTGCACAAAGCAGAGCCGATGTCTACCTTTCCTATCTCACATTATCAAATCCGAAGTTGGATTGTAATGATGAACGGGAAAGCCCTTTGACAGAGATATTCAGAAGCACAGCAGTGTGAAAAATTTTAAATGTTTAAAGCTACTGATTTCAGATTCATTAGGCTAGCGGAATTAACCCAATCCATTTGAATAGCGATAGTGGATGTCACTTGCTAATAGACATATGCATCTTCCCTCCTTTTGGTTATATTGACATTTTACCAGTAAATTTTAGTTGAGAAAAACAGAGGGCAACTTTCTTGACAGCAGCATTTCGTGACATCTGCCCCTGGCAGATGATTACCTGTATTCAGTTTAATTTTCTAAATTAGCTTGAAACTACATATGAGCATAACCTGAAAGAAATTTTAAAAATTATGATACATCAAGAGGCATAAATCATAAAGGAAAATATTAATGTTCTAAAACTTTAAGTTTATATGTGATCCAATGTAGCCAACACCATAAAAATTAATATTAAGTACAAACTAGGAAAATATTTGCAACATATAAAAGAGAGAAATCATGGATTTCCGTAATATGGATATTGTTCTTGTGGGCTATTGAGGAAAAAAATGAATACCCAATAGAAAAATGGGCAAAATGTTTGAAGCATAAAAATTTTTAAAAAGTGAATAAATCTATGAAATATGTTCATGGTCCATTAGTAATTTGAAAATATGAAAACCAAGAGACTTACCTATCAAATTAGTAAAGGTTAAAAAAATTATTACTAAACATGATGTTCATTTCTTATATTTCTGTTGAAGTTGTGGAATGGTATAATCTTTCTATAAGACAGTTTTATTTATCAAATGTTATTTAATTTATTATACTTTTACCAATCCATTTTATTTCTAGTAATTTATCCTAAGAAAATAATTGTGTACAGAAAAAAAGTTATAAGGTCATTCATTTCAGCATTCTTTAAAAGACAGAAAAATTCACGGTGATCTAAATATGCAGCAAGAGAGTTATTTATTAGTCAAGAATTTTGTGAGGTTTGAACTTTTAAAATGGGATGTTCACAAAAGAACAAATCTGAGCCAATATGACATTCCATATGGCAGTATGTAATTCATTCATTTCTGATGGCATAAGGTTGGTATAGACACCAGAGTATTCAGCTTTTGTAGATTTACTCAGTTGTGAAGTGAAATATCACTGCTGCCCACATATGCTGTCAAAGGTTATATGAAATCAAACATTGGCCCACAGGTCAGATTTTCATTTCACTGAAGCTCTCTGAAAATTGATTTTATGTCTTTGACAGGTCCAAGTGCTGTTTGATTAGGACTTTCATCCTTAAAATGTGGATGTGTTAAGGGAAACTCTCACTCTTTTATGAAACTCTCATTCTTTTATGTCTGCGAAGAAATGCCAGTTAAGCAATAAGCTAGCAAGAAGCCAGCTGGCTGAGGTTTCTCTTGTATTCACAGATAATGATCACAGAAATCCATCAGTCTGTGGTTCCAAAGTACTAGGGCTGTTTGAGGCTTTTTGTTTCTTC